TATATATCCTACTCCTGATTTAGACTGATGTATACATTACACTTTTCCAGAAGTGAATAAATGTTCTACTATAGACACCACAACTATCACAGACCAAGGAACTGTTGCAACTACTACACAGGAACATATTACACATCCTCAGGAACATTTCATATACACCAGTCCAGTCCCAGATACTGATTGTACAAGACCATATGATGTGGGTTTGTCAGAGTTACGTTACTCAAAATTCCAGAGTGAACCTGGGCTTGAATTCCATGAGACATCAACACTGTCTCATGAACTTTTTTCAGAGGTGGCTGTTGCAGAGGTCAATATATATAAAGATCACTTAGTTTCTGCAACTCTTCAGCCCTTGATACTTGTATCTGAGACAGGTCTTCAAATAATTTACCCAACTATATTGGAAACAGAAACATACTCTACAACAACAGATATACTTACACCACTTCCAAAGAAATTCCATGCTAGCATGCAAATTGTACCCAACTTGCAGTGTGTCACAGCAAAGACAGCAATATCTGAAGCAGGATATATAATTAGGTACCCAGCCACATCTATTTTAGAACAAGACATAGCAAAAACGTTTGACACTTGCATTCCAGAAAAAATCCAAGCAACAACACAAGTTATTTCTGGTTTGGAGAGATCCACTTCCTTATCAGTAATACTCATATCCGAAGTTGGACAGATTATTCACTTTCCTTCAACATCTAGCCTAGAAAGTGATACTATAACTGAGGATGTTTGTATGTCAATTCCACATACAGTTCAGGCAACGCTCAGTTTTATTCCAAATCTGGAACATGCCACTGCACTACATATTATACTTGTACCTGCAATAGAGCAAAGAATTAATTATCCCTCTGTCTCTGTCATACGAGACATATTTGACACTCATGTTACTGAGTTTACTTCACCAGAAACAGGAACCATTCGTGCTCAGGCACAATTTGTTTCTGATTTTGAAACTGCTTCAGTACAACCTATGACCCTTGTGTCTCAATCAGGATTGAGAATTCACTATCCTTCTACACCTATTTGTCAATTTGAGGTATATTCAACGGATTCTATACCATTGTCTGGTGAATCTGCATTTGCCAAAATTCAAATAATTCCTGAGCTTGCATATGCAATAATGCAGCCAGTTGTTCTTGTGTTTGAAGATGGACAAAAAATTAACTATCCATATACTTCTGTCACTCAATGTGACATCCCTGTCACAGAATTGAACTCACCTGTTATAAAACCCTCTTTTGCTGAAACACAACTTGTTCCTGAGCTAAACACTGTTATTACACAACCAATGGCATTTGTATGTGAAGGAGGACAGAAAATTAACTATTCATCAAATTTAGGCATAGAAAATGACACACTTGCTGAAGACTTCAGAATAGATGTTCCAGAAGCCACTACTGCTTTAATAGCATTTGAATCCAACCTGAAAACTGCTGTTACACAACCCATTAGCATAATATCCAGCACTGGACACCACATAAATTATGCATCAACATCTGTCTTGGAATACGACACACCACATGATTTCCTTCCTTTTACCCCAGCCATAATGTATGCTAAAGAACTATTTGTTGTAGAAGAACTATATTTTGCAACAAGAAAAGTAGTAGCTTTAGTGTCACATTCTGGCCAAACACTAAGATACCCATTGAATTCTGCTACAAATCACAGTGCACTTACTGACATAATCATTGCACCTATTCCAGACAAACAGCATGCTACCACACAGATTGTTCCTGAATTAGAAACAGCATCTACTCAACCCATACCATTCGTCTCAGAAGCTAGCTTCATAGTCAGACATTCATCACCATCTGTCCTGGAACCTGACACAAAAGTTGAAGATTTCAACATTTCTGTCGCTGAAATTGCTCATGCTGTAACATGTGTTATACCTGCTCTCAAATTTGCCTCTACACTGCCACTGACCCTTGTGTCTGAGGCAGGACACAAAGTTCATTATCCATCTACCTTTGTAAATGACATTGATGAATTGACAGAGGATTTCACAACACCACAGGTGGAAGAAGGTATTGCTAGGACAGTTCAGGTTCCTGCATTGAAATATGCAACCGTGTTGCCTATGACACTTGTGTCTGAGGCTGGCCACAAAGTTTATTATCCATCCACTGCTGTTGCTGAATATGACAGCACGGCAGAAGCTTTCACACCTTTCACTATAGAAAAAACACATGCCAAGGTAGTGCACTTACCTGATTTGGAATATGCCACAATACTGCCTCTAACAATCATATCTGAGGCTGGATACAAAACTCATTATCCATTTACCTCTTTCTTTGAATTAAAAGATATTGCAGAAGATTCCATACCACATTGTGATAAAAAGCAATATGCTAAGACACTGGATATCCCTGCACTAGAATGTGCTTCAATATTACCAGTGACTCTAGTCTCTGAGGCTGGCCATAAGATTCATCACCCAACAACTTCTGTCTTTGACTATGATGAAATGACAGAAGTTTTCATAGCACTGTCTCTGAAGGAAGTAAGTGCTAAAACAGTTTATATTCCTAAATTGGAATATGCTAAGGTATCACCTGTAACAATTGTGTCTGAGGCAGGTCTTAAAGTTTGTTATCCAACAGCATCTACAACTGATCATGATGAATCAGTAGAAATTTTCACAACACCTACCCATGAAGAAACACATGCTAAAGTGTTATATGTTCCTGAATTGGAATATCCTACAACATTACCCATGACACTTGTTTCTGAGTTAGGCCACAAAATTCATTATCCAACATATTCAACTGAACATGATTTGATAGTAGAGATTTTCACATCATCTATTCAGGAAAAAGTGCATGCTACAGTTTTGCATATACCTAAACTAGAGTATGCCACAATATCACCTTTGACGCTTGTGTCTGAGGCAGGCTACAAAATCCACTATCCATCTACATTCACACTGGAATACAATGAAACATCAAAAATTATTGAAACATCTGTTCCAGTGGAAGTCTGTGCTACAGAATCAGTTGCTCCGAACTTGGAGTTTGCTTTTACAGAACACTTAACATTCATTTCAAATGCTGGATACAAGATTCAGTATCCTTCTGCCTCATTCTTGGAACATGACACTATTAAAGATTTAGTTTCAACTGTTCCAGAAGGAATGAAGGCAAAAATAACACAAATTCCAGAACTGGAATTTATCACAACACTGCCATTAACTTCTGTCACAGCACAGGGACAGAAAGTTCATTATCCACTGACACAAATCCTGGAACATGACACCATAGAGGAATTCAGAACAATTACTCCAGAAACAGTTCATGGCACACCAATACATGTTCCTGATATGAGAGTTGCTAGCACAGAACCTATAAATATTGTCTCTGAAGTTGGACTTATCATAAGATATCCAGGAGTTTCTGTTACTGATGAATCACACAAAACAACAGAAATTACCTTCCCACAGTTACAAAGAACTCATGCAACTGAAGTTATACATACACAGGATACTTCAGAATTTAAATATGGGACTGTCTCACCAATTACAGTGATGCCAGCTTCCACACCAACTACACATTATCCTAGTCCAAAGGAAGAAACTTTACTTCCTGATACTCCTTTAACCAGGCCCTCTGTCCCATCCCACACAGGCATGGCATCAAGCCCATCCTCTACAATTACCACATCTGAAGTGAAGACTGAAGATGTGCAAGTACAGCAAGACATACAACAAACCAAACATGTACCTGAAACACAACACATTAAGTGGGGGGAAGATTTACAAGAGAGTGAATCAAAGAAATCAACCACTACTTTTACACCTGATAAACGGGAGGATAAAGCAGTTAAAGATTTAAAGAGTACAATGAGCAGTGAGTCTGTAGATGTTGACAGAACACCGGTGGATGCTTCCGATATTCAAGAGGCAACAGTACAGCACATATCTTTAAGGACTATTAAGCAACAGTCTAATAAAACAAGTGATGAAGAAGGATTAACTCATGAAGTCATGGTTGGTATTGGTGTAGAAGGTGGAACAGTTAGAGAGGAAACCCAGGTAAATACCCTTGGCAAGCAAATAGAGCCAAAAGAAGAATTTGAGTCCTCAGTTGATCTTCATATTGTACCTACACCTAAAGTTGCCTCTGGGAAAGAGTGGCAAGAGAAAACAACTATCTATACAGAGGAAATAAGTGAGCAAGAAGAAATTCAGAAGCCAGAAGATATTCAGAAGCCAAAGTTGGATAAAGTAATCGATGAAACTACTAAAGACTTTACTGAAGAGTTTCTGCCGGATTTTGCTCAAACTTCTACAGAGTACGAGCCTATATTGGGCTTTGCACAGGCTAGTTTTCCAACTGTTGTTTCAGATTTCCCTGCTCTAAGAGTTACAAGAACAGATCAGCATATTACAGTAATAGAAAGTAGGGAGGATACAGATCAGTCAGATCTGCCACAGTTGGAAATTACCGAAATTGAAGAAGAAGTTGAAAGTCCTGCCACAGAATGCAAAGTAACTTTCCCAAGCACCCACCGTGGTTCTTTAATTGACATCTCAGCTCCAGCTGATGTGGATATAGTCCCACTTGCAGTAACTGAAACAAAAGAGACTCCCACCAACACACAGGAAAAAGACCTACAAGAGATGTTCCCAGAATGTATACTTGAGCCTATCCCACAAACATTAACATGTAAGGCTGTGCAGTCAGAAGTCGAATATAACAGGGCTTCAGTATCAGAAACACTTACATTTATAGGTCCATCTCCTACAAGGTCTACAAAATCACAAACAATTCTTGTAGAAGAGGATGATGAACATACCTATACACAAACACCTACAGCTCCTGAGAAAAATCAGCAAAAATCTGAAACTGTGGAGGTCACTGACATAACTACCACTGAAACAATGACCCAACCAATTCACAAACACGTTACAGTACATGAACATAATACTCAACAGGAACAAGAGTCCACTAATATTATACCTACTTTTGCACCTTCCATAGAATCTACAGAAAAAGAGCAAAGGATAACAATAAAAGAGGAGACTACAGGGACAGATGAAATATTGCTTGAACAAACATCTATGTTTGAAAGCCAGGAACTTAAGCCTGAACAGGCAAAAACACTTATTATGGAAGATGTTAAGGATTCAGTGACTGTTACTGAAAATCTGAGTGAAGAACAGCCAGCCCCATGGCATCGTGGAGAAAAGATTCACTTGAAGAAGCAGATCAGCATTACACCAGATGTTGTGGCTTCTGAATCTATACAGGTCACTGATACAAAAACTGAAGATACGTACGTTACATTACAGACAGAAAAAGGAAAAGAAGTTACTGCTACAGTCACCGAAGAGCTTAAGGATTCAGTTACAGTTACAGAAAAGATCCCAGAAGAACAGCCTTTGCCATGGAAAAGAGGGGAGAAGATCCCATTCAGGACTGAAAATATCAAACCAGAACTGGTTTCCCTGGAACCACTTCAAGTTACTGATACTAAAGCTGAAGATACATATGTTGCCCTGAAAACTGAAAGAGGAGAACAAGTAAAGGCAACAGTCACTAAAGAACTCAAAGATTCTTTGACAGTGATGGAAAAGATCCCTCAAGAACAGCCAATGGCTTGGCAAAAGGGTGAGAAAATTCCATTTAAGACTGAGAACATAAAGCCTGAGTTTGTGCCTTCTGAGCCTCTTCAAGTTACTGATACAAAAGTTGAAGATACCTATGTACACCTACAACCAGAGAAAGCTACAAAAGCAAAGGCAACAGTTACTGAAGATTTAAAGGACTCTTTAACAGTGACAGAAAAGATCCCAGAAGAACAGCCACTGCCATGGCAAAAGGGTGAGAAAATTCCCTTTAAGACCGAAAGCATAAAACCTGAGTTAGTTTCTTCTGAATCTCTTCAGGTTACTGATACTAAAGTTGAAGATAGTTATGTAAACCTAAAGCCAGAGAAAGGTGAACCAGTAAAAGCTACAATATCAGAAGATTTGAGGGATTCCCTGACTGTGACAGAAAAGATTGCAGAAGAACAACCAATGTCTTGGAGTAGGGGTGAGAAAGTTCCCTTTAAAACTGAGAGAATAAAACCTGAGTTGGTTTCTTCTGAATCCCTCCAGGTTACTGATACTAAAGTTGAAGATACCTACATGCATCTTCAACCAGAAAAGGGTGAGCAAGTAAAAGCTACAATAACAGAGGATCTAAAGGACTCACTGACTATAACAGAAAAGATCCCAGAAGAACAACCTACTCCATGGAGAAGAGGAGAAAAGATGCCATTGAGAACTGAAAGCATCAGGCCTGAATTAGTTTCATCAGAATCATTGCAAGTAACTGATACTAAAACTGTAGATTCATGTGAAACTTTCCAGAGTGAAAAGGGGGAAGAAGCAAGAGCCACTGTAACAAAGGACCTAAAAGATTCTTTGACTGTTACAGAAAGGCTTCCTGAAGAACAACCTTCACCCCTAAAAAGGCCTGCAAGAGTAACAGCTGATTTAGCTCAGCACAAGTTAATGGTAATGGAACATGATTCACTTTCTGTTACTGAAGTATATGCTAAGGAAGGTGGTACTCAGTTTGAAACTGAAAAGGCAAATGTACAGACAGCCATAGGTATGCTAGAGCCACTTGAAGCACTTACCACAACAGATCACAGAAGTGAGGAAACTATTTCTCAGCTCTCAGACTTAATGAAACGAACACAAAAGGCAACAGTTATGGAACAAGATACTAAACAGACAGTTCAAATTACAGAACAAATTCCTCATGAAAGTATTGCAGATCTGAAGAAGGAAAAACACATAGTTGAGAGTCTCAAATGTGGCCTCTCTGGACAGAATGCTCCTCAAGTTGAAGAGATTATTGTGCATGATGCAGAAGAGAAGTATGAATCTAAATCTCCTAAGAGAGAAACAACAAAACAGACAACAGTTACTAAACAGTCAGAAGCTGTGATTATTGCTGAACCAAAACTGGAGGAGGATACTGTTCAATGGGAAAAGCATGCAGAAAAACTGGAACAAGCAAAGCCCAATGTATTAGAGCAAAAGTATATTCAAATTTCTGAAATATTTAAGGCTGACAAGGAGGATATCCTTCATGAACAAGCCCCAGTACAACAACAAGGTAGAATAATAGAAATGCAGCATCTGGAAGCTCTTACCATACAAGGTCATGATATCCAGGAAGATGCTGCATCATGGAAGTCTCGCATAGACAAGGAGCAAACTGCACGGGCATCCATCCTGGAAAAAATGTCTGTTAATGTCATGGAAACACAGCAACATGATTCATTTAAAGAATATAAACCAGAAAAACCAATTGAAGCGCAAGCTACACAAATGGAAGGTAAACGAGAAGCTATAGCCGTTTCAGAGACAAAAGCAGAATCTCCTATAAGAGAACTCCCAAAGGAAGCCAAAATAGAACATCATGCATCTCTTATTCATTCCAAGAAATCATCTCTTGTTGTTTCTGCATCAGATGTCCAAGAGAGTGAAGCCCCCCTAAAGATTAGGAAGCCAGTTGAAGCACAGGCAGATAAATTAGATATAAACACTTTCCATTCTGTCATAGTTGCTGATACTGAAGTTCAATCTCCTGTGGATATTCTAAGTAAACCTGTATTGCCAACAGGAAAAGCAAAAACAAGCTTTATTCCTCAAAAGGCACTTGAAATTCTTGAATCTCAAGCTCACCAAAAAGAGAAGGACTTCCAGCCTAGCAAGCCTGAAGACATGGTTATTCAAGGTAAAGTTGAATGCAGTGAACATTCCCTTGAAGTACAGGAAACAAAAGCTCAGTCCCCATTAAGGGAATTAAAAGAAGCAAAACCTTTCACAGATATGGCAAGCACCTCTGTTATCCCTCAAAAGTCTGTGAAAGTGTCAGAAGTGTCTGTGAGTTTTAAAGAAGAGGAATTCAAGGAGATCCCAAGATACTCTCATACAGCAACAGAAGAACAAGTCCCAGGCCATCTTCCACTGGAAATAACTCAAAGCACCATTCAAGATACGATTAAAGATTTTACAACTAGTATTCCAAAAGGAGAATCAGCATCAGTAGATCTAAAGAGTTTCCATGCAGCATCTGTTATGGAGATCCATGCAGCTCAGGCTGAAGAAAAATATAATCCTTCTCAACATCCAACAACTACTGCTAAAACGTATTTGGTGGAAGGTATGCAACCTATTATTACAGAAGAAATTTGTGCATCATCTTCAGTTATAGACTTTGATGTTCCTGACAAACCAAAATCTAAAGAAGCAACAAAGAGTTTTGAAGAACAAAAGGCAATAACTATTACTGAGACTGGCATGCATGAAAAAGAGGAGTCACTTATGGAAAAGAAACCCGTTGAATTACATTTAAAATCTAAAATAAATGGAGGGCTTGAGCCTCTTCTGATTACTGAAGTGGAAAGTGAGGAAACTATTGGCAATGTAGTTCCTATAACAGTGCCTGAAAAGGAAAGTGCAAAAATTGAACTTACTCATGCAGCTAAGGTGGCTCTTTCATCTGGAGTACTAATAAATGAGTGTGAAGGATGGCATGAAGATGAAAAACCAGAAGCCCAGAAGGCAGAAGGGATCATGAGCACAGGGGAGGCTATTACTGTACTTGAAACACTTCCACAGTCTCTGGCTGAGGAACTTCCAGTTGCTCCCAAGCCAAAAGCTGAAGAAGGAATGGGATCTTTAATTCCATCAAAAACTGTGTCAGTCTCAGAGGTTATTTTGCATGAAAAAGAAGGACTACATGAAGTAGACAAGTTCCCTACCATTTCTCTACCCAGTCAGACACAAGCACCAAATATCCCATTAGTTGTACAAGAGACTCATACGGATTCAAGTTTGTCTGAAATGGCTCAGCAGAAAATGTTGCCATCACAGTCAGCTTCCATATCTCTTACTGCTCATGTCATTGCTTCTTCTATATCTGTAGGTATTAGTGAGAAAGAAGGTGTTTATAAAAAAGAGAAACCAATAGAAGATCTTGCAAATGTTGAATATGAAAGTGGAAAAGTCCCCATTCAAGTAAGCGAAACAAGAGCAGAGTCACCAGTGAAAGATTTTAAAGATATTAAGCCAGAGAATGCACAGGCAAGACCAGATATCATACCTCAGAAAGCTATTGCTGTATCTGAAATGGAATCGAAAGAAAAAGAAGGAACTCTTGAAATTAAGAAGCCATCAGCAATTTCACTGAAGTCTGATATCACGCAACCTTTGCATTCACTGACTGTATCTGAAATCAGTGCAGAAACTAATATTCATAAGTTAGATATAGATAACATAAATGAAGAACAAGCTAAGACAAGTCATATTCCACATCATGCTACTGCTGTTAGTGAACCATTTGTGCATCAGAAAGAACAGGATTATACCCAGCCAAAACCACTTTCTGCTGCACCAAAGGAATCATGTGCTCCTGGACATGAATCAGTTCAAATAACAGAAACAAGAGCAGAGTCCCCCATTACTGACAGAGATGAAAAAGAAACTCCAAAAAGCAAAGCTAAAAGTCAAGTTATCCCACAAGATACCGTACAAGTACATGAAGTAAGGGTTCATGAATCTGAAGGAGACTTTAAGTTAAGTAAGCCAGAGGAATCAATTGGTATTGTAAATCGTGCCCCAGGCCATGTAGTTGCAATTTCTACAAATATTGAATTATCTGAATGCATCCAGAAAATGGAAGATGCTGGGAAACTGGAAGGAAAAACGGCAAAAATGACAATAAATCCACAGCAGGCAGCAGAAGTTATACAGCATGAAGTAAGTGAGGCTGAAAAAGTGTTAAAAGAAGTGAAACCAGAAGAAAAGAAAGCGTTACCAAATATAGAAGAAATGCAATCTGTGTCAGTTATGGAAATAAGTGCAGAAACTAAGGAACAAAACTATGACATTAAAGAATTACCATCAGTGCATAATGTTGAAGCCAAACCAGTTATCACTCCCCTTCACCTTGCTCATGTCAACCATCCTGAGGTAGCAGAGCAGGAGGGGATTATCCCTACATTTGATACCACTAGTACTAGCCATGCAAAACTTGAATTTACACCACACACTTCAAAATTAGTGATTCAGCAGCAACCTAATATACTTACAGGCATATTAAAATCTGAACAACCTATTCATGCCTCAGGCAAGGTGGTAGTGGAGCCAGCTGCCCATGTCTCAGGTTCGGAAGAAGTTGTTATTGAAACAATTGAGGAAACCGCATCTAAAGCCACACCACAAGCTATGCAGGCTCATCGTCTTCTAGATACGCAACAAACTATTTCCGTTATGCAAGTTTCTGCTTTTAATCAAGCAGAAGCAATGGGTAAAGTTTCTATGCCAATACCAGCAACAGCAAAGACTGTCCAAACAACTCAACAAAGCATTAATGTTCATGAAGCAGATTTAAGAGAATCATCATCTAGTGTCACTCTTGAAAAAACTACAGAACAAAAAGCGACTACTGTGTTTGATCAAAGGGAACATGTTACAGTTTCTGAAGTAAAGTCAGATGAACTTCCAGCTGAAATGAAGCATGTGAGGCTTGAAGGCAAAGCTTCACCTGTAGTAAAGCCTCATGAAACTGTCACAGTCTCATCTGTTACAGTAGCAGAAAATTATGAAGAATCAAAGCATCCAAAACCACGAATGGAACAGGCTCAGCCGATTGCAATGCCCCAGGATTATGTCTCAGTGGAGGAGACTAAAGTACATGAAAGTTCTGGAGAAATAAAAATCAAGCAGCCAACAGAAGAAAGAGCTACAACTTCTGTATCTAAGCGTGAATCTGTCATGATTTCTGAGGTAAAGACAGAGGAAAAACCAGTTTCTATAAGAGAAAGAAGACCTTCCCAGGAGAGAGCCAAACCAGCTGTTGTGAGACAAGAGCATGTAATTGTATCAGAGACATCAACAGCTGAAGCACCTGGATTTGTAACACATCGCAGACCTTCTGAAGACAGAGCTAAAACAATTCTTTCCCAAAAACAGTCAGTTATTGTTTCAGAAGTTCAGTCAGAAGAAGCTCCTAAATCTACAAAGCAAAGAACTCCATCACAAGAAAGGGCAAGACAAGTAATGTCAGAAAAGGAATCTTTTGTTGTTCAAGAGGTTAAAGTACATGAACTTCCAAAAGATCTTCCAAAGGCCAAACCCAAGGAGGATAAGGCTAAGAAGGTTATTCCTCAACAGGAGTCCATCTCAGTTCAAGAGACTCAAGTTGAGGTACACACAGGAGACATTTCACATGTAAAACCAAAAGAAGAAAAAGCAAAAAAGATATATGAAAAGCGCTCATCAGTGGCTGTATCCGAAGTCTCTAGTCATGAAATGGCTGTAAAAATGCCTGATTATAAGCCTCAGAAGCCTGAGTCTGCAAAAACAAAGATGGACCATATGGAAGTTGTAAGTATTTCTGAAATAACTCCTGATGAAGCTCCTCACATTGTACCCAAGGAGAAAAGAAAAACAGAAACTGCTACTGTGATTCTCCCTGAAATGAAGGAGACAATACAGATCACAGAGGTTTCTACTGAGGAAACACCACACAGCGTAGTTCATGCCAAGAAGAATGAACAGTATGCACAAGTAGTCCTTAAACCAACAGAATCAATAAGCGTCTCTCATACACAAGTACATGAATCTACAGATGAGGTGCAGAAGTTAAAGCATGTGGAAGAAAGGGCTCAGACCATCCTTCCTCAACAAGATTCAATTACAGTTCAAGAGATAAATGTAAAGGAAGAACCAGAAGAAGTAAGGGAACATAGACCCAAAACTGAAACAGCAAAGTCTATACTTTCACCTCGACAATCAATTGCAGTGGAAGAGATAACTGTGAAAGAAAGTCCTGGGTCAGTATCTGAAGTTAAGCCAAAAACTCAACAAGCTACATCAGTTCTCTCTGAGCATGAATCCATCACCATCCAGGAAGTTAATGTTAAAGAATCTCCTGGCAATATTAAGGATATAAAGCCAAAAACAGGAACAGCTGAGACTATCTTTACTACTCAAGATTCTATTGCTGTTCAAGAAGTTTCAGTGAAGGAGGCACATGGTTCTGTTAAAGATATAAAACCCAAGACAGAACTGGCCACAGCCATCATTTCCCCTCATGAATCATTGACAATTCAAGAAATATCTGTTAAAGAAGCCCCAGGTGATGTAAAAGAAGCAAAACCAAAGCATGAGCAAGCTTCTTCAGTTTTAACTCCTCTGGAATCCATCAATGTTCATGAGGTTTCAGTGAAGGATGCTCCAGGATCATTGAAAGATTTACTAATAAGTACAGAACAAGCTTTAGCCAAGATATCTCCTCATGAATCAATAACAGTTGAGGAGGTTTCCATTAGGGAAGCTCCTGGCTCAGTGAAAGATGCAAAGCCAAAAACAGAAATGGCAACATCAATCATTTCTCCTCATGAATCAATCACTGTACAAGAGGTATCTGTGAAGGATGCTCCAGGAGTGGTAAAGGACAAAAAGCCAAAGCATGAGCAGGCTTTATCAGTGCTCTCTCAGCAAGAATCCATCAGTGTGCATGAGGTATCTGTAAAAGATGCTCCAGGAACCCTGAAGGATTTGAAACTAAGTCCAGAACAAGCTTCATCTGTTATCTCTCCACATGAATCAATTACTGTTGAAGAAGTTTCTGTGAAAGAAGCTCCTGGTTCTATGAGAGATGCAAAGCCTAAGACAGAAATGGCAACTACAATTATTTCTCCTCATGAGTCTATCACTGTACAAGAGGTATCTGTGAAAGATGCTCCAGGAGAGGTAAAGGACAAAAAGCCAAAGCATGAGCAGGCTTTATCAGTGCTCTCTCAGCAAGAATCCATCAGTGTGCATGAGGTATCTGTAAAAGATGCTCCAGGAACCCTGAAGGATTTGAAACTAAGCCCAGAACAAGCTTCATCTATTATTTCCCCTCATGAGTCCATCACAGTAGAAGAGGTTTCTGTGAAAGAAGCTCCTGGCTCTATGAAAGATGCAAAGCCTAAGACAGAAATGGCAACTCAATTATTTCTCCTCATGAATCAATCACTGTACAAGAAGTATCTGTGAAGGATGCTCCAGGAGAGGTAAAGGACAAACAACCAAAGCATGAACAGGCTTTATCAGTGCTCTCTCAGCAAGAGTCTATCAGTGTGCATGAAGTATCTGTAAAAGATGCTCCTGGGTCTTTGAAAGACTTGAAACTAAGCCCAGAGCAAGCTTCATCTGTTATCTCTCCTCATGAATCAATTACAGTAGAAGAAGTTTCTGTAAAAGAGGCACCTGGCTCAGTTAAAGATATAAAACCAAAGACTGAAGTGGCTACATCAGTCATGTCTCCTCATGAATCTATAACAGTAGAAGAGGTAACTGTAAAGGATGCCCCAGGAGAGATGAAAGACAAGAAATTGAAGCACGAGCAAGCCACTTCAGTCTTTTCTCCACAAGAGTCAATTAGTGTCCATGAAGTATCTGTAAAAGATGCTCCAGGATCCATGAAAGATTTCAAACTGAAAACAGAACAAGCTTCATCTGTAATATCTCCACACGAATCTGTCACAGTGGAAGAAGTGTCTGTAAAAGGGGCATCAGCAGATTTCAGTGATAAGAAACCACAGTCTGAGACTGCAACCTCAGTATTCTCTCCACAGGAGTCTATTGCTGTCCATGAGGTGTCTGTGAAGGATGCCCCAGGTTCTTTGAAAGATCTAAAATTCAGAACTGAGCAAGCATCCTCAGTCATATCTCCACATGAGTCTGTCACGGTACAAGAGGTGTCTGTAAAGGAAACATTTACTGATATTACAGACAAAAAACCAAAAACTGAAACAGCAACATCACTATTGTCAACAAAGGAATCAATAGCCATTCATGAAGTTTCAGTAAGGGATGCACCAGGTTCAATGAAAGATTTAAAACTTAAGACTGAACAAGCAACATCCAGTATATCTCCTCATGAGTCCCTTACTGTAGAAGAAGTGTCTGTAAAAGAAGCATCAGCAGACCTCAGTGAACGAAAGCCAAAAACAGAAAAAGCCACATCAATTCTTTCTCCTCAGGAATCAATTGCTATCCAAGAAGTATCTGTTAGAGATGCTACAGGATCTATGGCAGATATTAAACCAAAAACTGAACAAGCAACATCTAGTATTTCTCCCCATGAATCAATCACAGTAGAAGAAGTAACAGTGAAGGAAGCTCCAGGAGATGTATGTGATAAAAAGCCAAAGACTGAGAAAGCTACTTCAATATTCTCACCGCAAGAATCCATTGCTATTCATGAAGTGGCTGTTAAGGATACTACAGGCTCAATGAAAGACTTAAAACTGAAAAAAGAACAAGCTTCATCTGTAATTTCTCCTCATGAATCACTTACCATAGAAGAAGTATCAGTGAAGGAAACATCCAAAGAGCTTAGTGATGAAAAACCAAAAACAGGACTGGCAACCTCAGTTTTTTCTCCTCAAGAATCTATTGCTGTCCATGAAGTATCTGTGAAGGATGCTCCAGGATCCCTTAAAGACTTAAAATTCAAGACAGAACAAGCTTCGTCAGTCCTCTCTCCTCATGAGTCTCTTACAATTGAAGAAGTATCTGTGAAGGAAGCATCAGGAGATCTGACTGATAAAAAACCAAAGACAGAAGTAGCAACATCTATATTCTCTCCTCAGGAATCTATTTCTGTCCATGAAATATCTGTGAAAGATGCTCCAGGTTCGATGAAAGATCTGAAACTGCAAACTGAGAAAGCATCTTCTGTCATAGCCCCTCATGAGTCTGTTACAGTTGAAGAGGTATCTGTCAAAGAAACATCTGGAGACATTAGCGAGGCAAAGCCAAAAACAGAAACAGCAACTTCAATATTCTCTACTCAAGAGTCTATTGCCATTCAAGAGGTTTCTGTGAAAGAAGCCCCAACAGACATTACCTCTAAACTGCCCAAAACGGAAAAAGCCACTTCTACATTTACACCTCAGGAATCTATTGCTGTTCATGAGGTGTCTGTGAAAGATGCTCCAGGATCAATGAAAGATTTGAAATTTAAAACTGAAAAAGCTTCATCTACAATTTCTCCTCATGAATCTGTTACCATTGAAGAAGTATCTGTTAAAGAAACATTTGGAGATATGGAAGAGAGGAAACCTAAAACAGAGAAAGCTACTTCTGTTCTTTCTCAACAGGAATCCATTAGTATACATGAAATTTCTGTTAAAGATGCTCCAGGTTCCATGAAGGACTTGAAGCCAGTTACTGAGAAAGCATCAGCTACTATTGCACCACATGAATCAGTAACAATTGAAGAGGTCTCAGTCAAGGAAGCATCACAAGATCTGGCCAGCCTAAAGCCAAAACCAGAACTTGCAAAATCTGTTTTGTCACCACAAGAATCAATAGCAATTCAAGAAATTTCAGTAAAGGAGGCACCAGGTGATATAGAGACTATGAAGCCCAAATCAGAAAAAGCACGAGTCACTGTAACAAAGAAAGATTCCCTTCAGGTTCTAGAAGTTGCATCTGAGCTTGCTCCAGACACCATACCAGAGAGTCACATGATTGGTGACAAGGCAAAGGTCACTGTCACAGAGGATCTCCAACGTGCAGATCAGGAAGATGTTATTGTGTTACGAGGCCCAAAGAAAGAAAAGAAGGTCATTGAAGTTGTGGAGGAATCAGATGAAGAAATTCCAGTTATAAAGAAAGAAAAGAAGGAAGAAACAGTTGAAGAAAAAATAAGTGAACCAGAGGAAAAGATTATTGAAGAAGTAGAGGTTAAGATGAAGCCAAAAAAGAAGCCAAAGATCCAGACTGAAGAGGCTGAAGAAGTTGTTATTAAGAAACCTGAGGAAAAAATACTTGAAGAAACCACAGAAGATGTACAAGTAAAAATAAAACCAAAGAAAGAGCCTAAAGTAGAAGAACAACAAATTTCAGAAGAAGTAACAATAAAGAAAGCAGAGAAAAAGGAAGAGATCGTTGAGGAAGTCTCTGAAGATGTAACAGTTAAAAAGAAACCAAAGAAGAAGCCTGAATTAGAGGAAGCTACAGAAGAGGTAATACTCAAGAAACCAGAAAAGAAGCCTGAAGAGAAAGTTGCTGAAGAAGTTACAGAAGAGGTGCAAGTTAAGATGAAACCAAAGAAAAAACCAGAAATAAAGACTGAAGAGATTGCTGAGGAAGTAACAGTCAAGAAGCCTGAAGAAAAGAAGCCTGAGGAGAAACCAGAAGAAAAGGAGCCTGAGGAGAAACCAGAAGAAAAGGTTATTGAGGAAGTCACTGAAGAAGTGCAGATTAAGATGAAACCAAAGAAAAAGCCTGAAGTCAAGACTGAAGAGATTGCTGAGGAAGTGACAGTGAAGAAGCCTGAGGAGAAACCCGAAGAAAAGATTGTTGAGGAAGTCACTGAAGAGGTGCAGATTAAGATGAAGCCAAAGAAAAAGCCTGAAGTCAAGACCGAAGAGATTGCTGAAGAAGTGACACTTAAAAAGCCTGAGGAGAAACCAGAAGAAAAGGTTGTTGAGGAAGTCACTGAAGAGGTGCAGATTAAGATGAAGCCAAAGAAAAAGCCTGAAGTCAAGACTGAAGAGATTGCTGAAGAAGTGACACTTAAAAAGCCTGAGGAGAAACCAGAAGAAAAGGTTGTTGAAGAAGTCACTGAAGAGGTGCAGATTAAGATGAAGCCAAAGAAAAAGCCTGAAGTCAAGACTGAAGAGATTACTGAAGAAGTGACACTGAAGAAGCCTGAGGAGAAACCTGAAGAGAAGGTTGTTGAAGAAGTCACTGAAGAGGTGCAGATTAAGATGAAGCCAAAGAAAAAGCCTGAAGTCAAGACCGAAGAGATTGCTGAAGAAGTGACGCTTAAGAAGCCTGAGGAGAAACCTGAAGAGAAGGTTGTTGAAGAAGTCACTGAAGAGGTGCAGATTAAGATGAAGCCAAAGAAAAAGCCTGAAGTCAAGACTGAAGAGATTACTGAAGAAGTGACACTAAAGAAGCCTGAGGAGAAACCTGAAGAGAAGGTTGCTGAAGAAGTTACTGAAGAGGTGCAGATTAAGATGAAGCCAAAGAAAAAGCCTGAAGTCAAGACCGAAGAGATTGCTGAGGAAGTGACTCTTAAGAAGCCTGAGGAGAAACCCGAAGAAAAGATTGTTGAGGAAGTCACTGAAGAGGTGCAGATTAAGATGAAGCCAAAGAAAAAGCCTGAAGTCAAGACTGAAGAGATTGCTGAAGAAGTGACACTGAAGAAACCTGAGGAGAAACCTGAAGAGAAGGTTGTTGAAGAAGTCACTGAAGAGGTGCAGATTAAGATGAAGCCAAAGAAAAAGCCTGAAGTCAAGACCGAAGAGATTGCTGAAGAAGTGACGCTTAAGAAGCCTGAGGAGAAACCAGAAGAAAAGGTTGTTGAGGAAGTCACTGAAGAGGTGCAGATTAAGATGAAGCCAAAGAAAAAGCCTGAAGTCAAGACTGAAGAGATTACTGAAGAAGTGACACTGAAGAAACCTGAGGAGAAACCTGAAGAGAAGGTTGTTGAAGAAGTCACTGAAGAGGTGCAGATTAAGATGAAGCCAAAGAAAAAGCCTGAAGTCAAGACTGAAGAGATTGCTGAAGAAGTGACACTGAAGAAGCCTGAGGAGAAACCTGAAGAGAAGGTTGTTGAGGAAGTCACTGAAGAGGTGCAGATTAAGATGAAGCCAAAGAAAAAGCCTGAAGTCAAGACCGAAGAGATTGCTGAGGAAGTGACTCTTAAGAAGCCTGTGGAGAAACCTGAAGAGACAGTTGTTGAAGAAGTCACTGAAGATGTACAGATCAAGCTGAAGCCAAAGAAGAAACCTGTAACCAAAGAAGAAGAGGTTTCACAAGAAGTTACAATACAACAACCAAAAGAAAAGATAGTTGAGGACATTACAGAGGAAGTTAAAATTAAAATGAAGCCAAAGAAAGAACCAGAAAAGAAAACTGAGGAAATTACAGAAGAAGTAACAATTAAGAAAACTGAAGAGCAACCTGAGGAGAAAGTCTGTGAAGAGATTACAGAAGAAGTCCAGTTCAAGTTGAAGCCTAAAAAGAAACCAAAGACTGAATATGAAGAAATATCTGAAGAGGTGACAATCAAGAGAAAGCCTCAGGAAAAGGTGGAGGAGGTGACTGAAGATGTGCACATTAAGATGAAGCCTAAACAGCCAGAAAAGTTTGAAGATGTATCTGAAGAACTGACAATAAGAAAGGATGAGCCTATAGAAAAAGTAGCAGAAGAAGTGACTGAGGATGTGCATATCAAATTCAAACCTAAAAAGAAAGAGCCTGAAAAGCATATAGAGGAAATAAATGAAGAAATTACCATAATAAAAAAACATGAGCCCTCTGAGGAAGTACAAGAGGAAGAGGTTGAAGATGTTCAGATTATACGTAAACCCAAAAGAAAAGCTATTGTCAAGGAGGAAATTTCTGAGGAATTTGTCATCCAAAAACCTAAAAAGACAGAAGAACCAGCTGAAGAAGTTACTGAAGAATTCAAGGTTAAGAGACCTAAACCAAAGAAGCCAGAGGATGTGTCTGAAGAATTTGTAATGAAGGAAGAATCACCAGAACCAACTGTGGCAGAGGAAATAACTGAGGAAGTCAGTATCAAAATGAAACCAAAGAAGAAGAAGCCATTTATAACAGAGGAAATAAGTGAGGCAGTGACTCTTAAAAAACCAAGGGACAAAGAAGAAGAACCAGAAGAAGTAAGTGAATCTGTTGTTCTGAAGAGAAAAGAAAAACCATTCGTGAAAGAGACTCAGGAGATTTCTCAAGAGGTTGAAATGAAACTCAGGGAAGGTGAAAACTTTACCCAGGAAGAAACTACAGAAGATGTAAGCATTAGAATGAAGCGGCCAAAAAAGAAATACTCTGTGACTGAAGAGACCATTGAATCCAAGATGATGATCCAGGAATCTGATG